AGCTTGGTTATCGTGTGGATATGGTTGATGGTGCTCAATCCTTTGCGGAACCCAGCTTGCTTGCATGGTTGTCCTTCATCTAGTGTTCTGCCAATCCTATTTAGGATAACTCTAGTGAACAACTTGTAGATGACAGACAATAGGAAGATCGGGCAATAGTTGCCGATGTCATGGATGTGTCCCTTCTTGTACAGTAGTACAGTCCTGCTGGTTTTCCTTGAGAAGGATGAGAAAGAAGGTGTGACCCAAAAAGCAAAAAAAAAAAAATTAATACTTTTGTGTCTAAGAGCTCTTACATTAGCCTACTATAGTTGGACTTTTCTCTTTCAGGTTTATAGCTTTAAGTTTACATTTCGGTCAGTGATTCATTTTGAGTTAATTTTCTTTGCATAGTACAAGAAAGGTATTGATTTTTCTTTCATTAATGAATAATTGTTTCAGCACCATATTTTGAATAGTTGAATTAACTTTATACTTTTTGAATAAAAATCCATTAATCAAATACATGTCTTAGTTTCTGAAAGAATTCCCCATTTTTTTCCACTGATTTACTGTCTGTTCAGTGATTCCTACAAGGGCAATTTTGCCTGTTGATCAAGGTCTAGCATTGGGAGATGTAAGGGAGTGGAGCTTTTGAGTTATACCTGGTGGTGCTCAGGGGCTCTGTGCTTTTATTATCAGGAAGACCTCTGGTATTTCTCAGGAAATCATGTGCAGTCTTATGGACCATGTGCAGTACAGAGAATTATGCCGGGGATAGTGGCAAGCAAGGCAAGTGCCTTAAATCCTATATCATTTCTCTGGCTCCTGACATAGTTTTAATTATCACAGCTAGTGGTAAAACACGACTGCTTACTGGTTTCTGATAGAAAAATGAAAACAAATACTGATTACAATAAAAAACTGCATAGGACAGCCCTCATAACAAATAACTGTCTCACCCAAAGTATTATCAGTTTTTTAAAAAATTTTTATTAGTGAAACACCATGGGGTAGAGTTGTAGACTTACAAATTTTTGTGCTTGGGTTTCAATTATACAATGATCAAATACCCATCCCTCCACCAGTGCCCATTTCCCACCACCACGGATCCCTGTATCCCTCCCACCTCCCCATCCCCCATCCCACCCTGCCTCTGTGGCAGGGCATTCCCTTTTGTTCTCTCTCTTTTATTGGGTGTTGTGGTTTGCAAAAGAGGCAATGGGTGACAATCATTTTTGGTCTATAGTCTACTTTCTGCATGCTTCTCTCATCCTGGGAGGATCCTCCCAACACCTTTGTTTGGTGTTCCCTTCTCTATCTGAGCTCCCTTTTCCCCTAGCATGTGTGGTTGGCCTCCAAGTCATAGAGTACAATTCCTGGTACTAATCTCAGCCATTCTTGGGTGTTAGTCTCCTATTTTGTTACTTTATGTTTCCCAGAGGAATGCAATCTTTCTATGTCTACCCCTTTCTTTCTGAGTCATTTCGCTTAACATGATACTTTCCATGTAGTACCACTTGTATGTAAATTTCGTGACTTTTTTATTTTATCTTTTTAATTTATTTATTTATTTTTAGAACCTTACCTATTTCAACCTTAATAAATTCACATTAGTTTTAATAGATTTTCGGTATATAGTATTGGATTTTCTACTTAGTAACGTATTTTACATCTTTCTTTCCAATCTTTGTCATTTAATTTTTCTCAGTTTTATACTAACATATAGAATAAATTCTTTCGAAATGGGTAGAGTGGGTCAGAGAGATATTATAGTGGTTAAGGAGCTTGCCTTGCACACTGCCAATCCAGGTTTGAACCCTTGCACCACGTATGGTCTCCTGAGCCCCACCAGGAGTGAGCCTTGAGTGCAGAGCCTGGAGTAAGTCCTGAGCATCACAGGGTGTAGCCCCAAAACCAAAAAATAAAATAACTTTTTGGGAACTAGGAGATGATACAGTAGTTACTATGGAGTACGTGTTACACACAGGAGATCCAGGTTTGATACCCTGGGGTACACAGCTAGATGTGGCCCCAGAATACTTAAGTAGACTCTTAGTATCTCTGGTGTGGTCCCAAAATATAACAAAAATCAACCCCCAGAAAAAAAACTCCCACCAAATATTAGAAAGTTAACTTCAAAGAATCATTTTTAAAGAAACCAAAAAAAAAAAAAGTTCCATATTTCTGTATCCTCATGTGGCAGAAGGGTCTCCCAGGCCCACCAGGAGTGATTCCTGAGCACAGAGCCAGGAAAAAGCGCTGAACACCACCAGCGTGTGGCCAAAACAAAACAATAAAAGATCACTCCTTGCTATGTTTAGGGTTATCCATGGGCGCATAAGTCAAGTCTGGGAAACAGACAGGAAGATTATATCAATGATTCAGAGGAGATTTAGTGGTAACCCACATCTGCTAGTGTAATATGGAAAAATGGTTAGATTATTGATACACTTAAAGATTATCGAAAAGAGCAATGGACTATGAGATGTAAGAAAAATTGCAAGAATATTTCCCTAGGTTATTGGACAAAGTATCTTTATTTAAAAATAGAATCTTTGGATCTTTCTTAAAAAGCCAAGTCAGGTATCACAGAGCATCACAGTATCATTAATTACTTATTAGTTACTTATAGATAAGTTACAGTAACAACAAGTCTCACAATGGAGCAGTTACTGAGCCCCATCTAGCAAATCGATGAACAATGGAAGGACAATGCTACAGTGCTACAGTGCTATAGATAAGGTAGTAAGGTAGTAAAGGAATAAACACCTTTGTGTCCTTTCTTCTCTCTTGGTTGTGCTGTTTCCAGACACTGCCTCCTCCTGAGACTCTGTAGACTACCTGCCTTTAGCTGGACTGCAGGCACACACAATCACACACCTTTTGGGAACATTTCAGTGGTTCCTGGACATACCTTAGTGCTAGAATGGGGTTTGTCAGAAGTTGCAAGCAGTAAAACTGGAGCAAATGAAGGAATATTCTGTAACAATGTGGTAAATGTGGCTTTGAGTGTTGGTCCAACTATTTCCCACCACAAGTGGACATGAGGAACATACACTATACTTGGAGCTGTTCTCTTTGAGTATCCCGCCCGCACAGCAGAGCCTGGCAAGCTCCCCGTGGCGTATTCAATATGCCAAAAAAAAAAAAACAGTAACAAGGGATCTCATTCCCTTGACTCTGAAAGAGCCTCCAGTGTGGCCGCGTTGGGAAAGACGAATAAGGAGAGGCTGCTAAAATCTCAGGGCTGAGACGAATGGAGATGTTACTGGCGCCCACCTCAGTAAATCGGTGAACAACGGGATAACAGTGATACAGTCATTGGACAAAGCAACTGGGAGAATGGGGTTAATTTCTGTAAGTGGGGTATTCTGCAGTAATGTTTTTCCCCTTGCACAAGGTTTCTGTATGTTAAATTTCACTTGATTAAGACAGTAAACTCAAGGACATACTGATAAACCTGATTTACAAATTAGGGTCACACTTTCATTTTGTACCGAAAGAAGCTGTAGCACTGCCCTCCCGTTGGTCATCGATTTGCTCAAGCAGGCACCAGTAACCAGTAATGTCTCACAACAAATTGTTGCTACTGTTTTTGGTATATCCAATATGTAACGGGTAGCTTGCCAGGCTTTGCCGTGCAGCTGAGATACTCTCTGTAGCTTGCTGGGCTCTAAGAAGGGGGCAGAAGAATCGAACCCGGGTCAGCTGCATGCAAGGCAAACGCCCTACCCGCTGTGCTATTGCTCTAGTCCCTGAAAGAAGCTGCCACTAGATAAAGTAAATTAATAGTAATGACTCTGTTGCAAGAATTTGCAAAACTAAAACAAACTTAATTTTCACATATGATACATTTAGACTTTTGTTAAATTGCAAGCAGGTTGGTGTGAAAAACCTGAAGCATTTTATTCTCTAGCTTGCTAACTGTTGGTACAGATGACAGAAGATAGTTTAATTGATCACTCTTGAAGCAGGTAGTTGGAATGAATTCCTTTATACCAGTTTACTTTTGTATGTTTCTTACATTTTTCAAAGAAAAAACTTTTTTGAATGTTTAGGGTTTGCAAAGATGATACATGTTTCCTCTCCTTTAAAACCTACCTCTCTCTCCACCTTCCCCCCCACCTCCACCCCGTTTGCCCACTCCCAGCGCTGCTCAGAGGCCATTCCTGTCTCTGTGCTGGAGTAATCTGGTGTCCTGGGGGGGCGGGGGAGATAATGGGAGGGAGAACACTTTATTATCTATCGCTTAAAGATTTCTAGTTATTAAATGCAGTAGCTTTCATCTTTCCCAAGGTTTTCTTCCAGCGTCAAAGAACAAACCCTTTGAAACCTTCAGTCGTGGTAAAACAAGTACTTTGGACTTGACATTTCCACCAGCTATGGTGAAAGTTGGAGACAACTATAAATGGGGGGGGGGGATCCTTTGGGGAACCTGGGAACATCCGTTTTTACTCTGGGAAACCTGGGAACATCCGCTAAAAACATTACCATGTACTTCCTGACTAATCCTCCTTTCGGGAGTAATCAAAAGGCAATCCCTTTCACTTATCTTAGGCTCCCCACCCTTAGAAGATTCCAGGAAATGACGTCACCAGCCGAACGTCCAACAGGGCGGGCATGGACGTCAGCACGTCCATCGTCGTCCACATCCTGGGAGGGAGGGAAAACTAACCAAAGAGCACAGTCCGTCGGGCAACCGCGGAGGCGCTAGGGGCGGGGTGGGTGGGAGTATGGAAGGCGGGGTGGGAAATCCTTGGGAGTCAGGACGACTGCGACTGCGCAGGTATGCGAGGGTGGGGCTTCGGTACAGCCACGCCCCTTTTCTGACCAATCAACTGCCTGACCAATCAGCCGCGTCTGCCCCGAGGCCAGGTAAATGTTTAGAGGCTAGAATGATTAGCCGAGGGGCGTCAGCCCCGCCTCCGGCTCCGCCCCGCCCCGCCGCCCTTCTCGCGCGGCCGCGGGCCCGCCCCCAGCTCCGGCCAGCCTCCTTGGCTGCGGGGTGACTAGGGGCTAGGTCTGGGGAAGCGGGCGAGGGAAGCGAGTTTGACGTCGTCGCGGTCGTGTCTGTGTGACCCTCCGCGTGAGCGCGGCGACTGGGCGGGGGTGGTCGGGCCGCGGGAGCCGCGTGGCAGAAATGGGAGGGCCTTGGGTTCTGGAGGCCGAAAGCGCAGTCGGGGGGCGAGGTTGACCCTGTGGTGGCCGGTCGCTGCGGATCGCCGGCGGGTGAGTCGCCTCGCTCGCGTTTCTCGGTTATTAAAGGGGCGCACTTTCAGTCTGCCCCTCCACCCCTTCTCGGGTGTCCGGGATGCGAGGAGGAAGTGCAAAGATCTCCGACAAGCACTTGGAGGCTTTCCCGGCGTGTTTTCCTCGCCGGTGCACGCTTGCTGTTTCTTTTTCCGGGATGGAGAGGTGGGGAGTCCAGGTGGGCAGGTCGATTTCACGGTGAACACAGTGGAGCCAAACAAACCAGAAATTCCTCACCCTCCCTTCTCGCCCTGCCCTTCAACACTATGACAAACATTCTCGACAACTTTTAAGCAGCAGACTGGAAAATTCTGTCTTAAATCAGCCTGTAGAAAAAGTGCTTTTTCCTTGTAGGAAAGGAAAAAAAATATATATATATATACATATATACACATATATATATATTTGTTAGCAAACACGTATTTCTTTTAAAAAGAATGTGAGATCTTTTGGCTGCTTGTTTGCATTTTTTTTTTTGGTTGTACGTAACCGTGAGTCCGAGAGAATATTGACTTTATATTGTGAAATATTGTTAGATGTGATGTTTTTCCTGAAACACAAAAGTGGCTATGAAATCTAATCACTTTAAGAGCTCACCCGGTTGTTTGTGGGAAGTGAAGTGATAAGTAACTTTCTGATTAAGTCTAGCTTTTTTATATTTATTTTTAGTGTAGCCTTTTTAAAAAAACTAACCCTCGGTATCTTTTTGTCTTTCACAGATTTCCTTCATTGCATCACTACCACTGATGGAGGAGATATTGGAGTAAATGCTGAAACTGGATGGTACAGAGCAGAAGACAGTCCGTTTCACTTTTTCCCCCCCACTGCTTGAACTTTACTGTAACGGCTGAAAAACTTGGAAAATAAAAATGAACTTGCTGTTGTCTTGAACATACTTTTTTTTTTTGGAGGAAATATTAAAGTGCCAGAGTGAAAACCACAATGGCATCCAGAGAGAGACTGTTTGAACTTTGGATGCTTTATTGTACAAAGGTAACTGCTTTCCTTTTTATTTCTAACTTTAAAATACTTTGTTATAAAATTCTGTGAGTGACCATATTATCACTTAGTTATGGCATATTCATATGATGCAAAAATTTAAATGTTATGTTTTCCAGTTTCTGGAGTACAATATTGGCATTCTATTAGAAGCTGTAGGGCGTGGTTTAAGTTTGATCCTTGTCTTCCGTGATCTCTTAATTTAATAAGGCAAATTGTGACCTACGGGAAAGTAATTTTTAATTTTTGTGGTTTTTTTTCTCTCCCACAAGTGGGAGTTGAAGAGTTATTTCTGTGAGAAAGCTTGAAGTATTTTTCTTACAATATTTGAAATTGTACTTAAAAGAAAATTGATTTTATAAAAAGATTATTGTTTTGAGGGAGTTACAGTTAGCACTGTATGGAAATTGTCTTTCTTGAGCCTTACAATAAACTGTGAGATGAGTATTGTAACTATCCCCTTTTTCCTGATGAGAAAACTAAAGCAGAGGTTAAAGGGACAAATGAGTAGCATAGCACAGACTTGGCTCAGTGTGGCCTGATTCCTACAATTACCCATTATGACTCCTTGTGTTGCCATTCAGAAATGTTTTTTATTCTCTATCTTTTTGTGAAGTTGTATGTTAGCTTTGATTTTGGGTTGTTGAGGAAGAGTAGTGCTTAATATGTTTTTCAAGTAAGGTGCTACATGACTTTTTTGATGGTTCGGGGCAAGGATCAGAGAAACAACTCTACTAAAGTTACTTCAGAGCTGTGTGGTCAAGTTCTCAAGGTCTCAGCTTCTGTTTCTTCATTATCCCTTCCTTCTTATAATTTCAGCTTTAACAAATTATCAGTTCAGTTTATAATGTCAAATTTAATGTCTTAAGTTCAAATACAAAATGCTTTTATTTGAGTTTTATTTTATTTGGAATTTCCTTTGACTTCTTGGTTTGGTATTTATGTTTCCTGAAGGACATATACTTTGAAATGTTTGATATGGATTTTTAAAATAGCTTTGAGTGTCAAGTAATTTAATGCCAGAAATGTCTCTTTAAAAATAGACCACTCTTCCAATAAAAAAAGATTCCAATTCTCCAGACACTTTTGAAAATATCAGCACATGTTACCCAAAAATTAAAATGTATGTTAAATTTGAGTACCCAGTATCTTGAAAGTGATCTATTAAAAAGTGCATTACATTTACTAACTTTTCCTCTTTTTAGAATAATAAAGGGTAAGAGGGATTATATTGTCCTCTTAGTTATGTTGTTTTTAGGTCATGTTCATGCTTTATTTATGACAATGTGCTTACTGAAGGTACTATACTTTGGAGTGCACAGAATTTCATTATAAATGATTTTAGTATCACATTACTCTTGGAGATGTGATAAGTAGTGAGAGCTGTTTCTGGTCCATTTTTGAAGTGTTTTAGAGAGAAAGAGGAATTCCATTTTTATGTTTAAGAGTTAAAGCAAACATTTAATAGAAACATTTTTTTCAACTGTTGGAAAAACTTATTTAAAATCATGATTTCATGTTTCACCAGTTTTTGAGTAAGTTACTTGTAAGCTACACATCTGTTTCCTTTTCTGCAAACACCTTGAGTTTAGATAGTTTCCAAACATACATAATGGATTTATACTAATTACCTAATGAGGATGATTACTAAATTCGAGTTCTCTATACTTTCTTTTTGATCTTATTGTTCCTATACTATCATATAGGATTCTAAACTAGTTGGACTTTTTTCTTTCACCTAGCTTTTAAGACTTTTCCCATCTTGCCCCCCACCCCCCTTTTGATAAGTTTTCAAACTACTTCAGGACTCCTGTTGTCATTGTACATCTTTGTGGACTTAACTGGAGGAGAGTTGACCTTCCTCTGTTGTTTAATGACCTTGGGCAAGACTTACCTTTATGGGTAGTAATGTATGTGCATATGTACTTATTTGTACAATGCTTGTCCAATTCACTAAGATTTTTGCTTTGACTTTTGAGGGACAATTTTTTTTTTGGTCTTGATTCCACAGGTTGTCATAAAACTTTTTAGTAATTTTTCTTTAAAAATTTTTATTATGGAAAATTTCAAGTGGGCACACATAGAGAAGAGACTATAAGAAGTGTGTGTGTGTGTGTGTGTGTGTGTGTGTGGCCATACATTGTATCTCCTGACTGGGCTATGATCTTATGGGCTGCTGAGGATTTGAACCTGGGTGGGCCAACACAAGTGTCCTGCTCACTGTACAATCTCTCTCCGGCTCCTGCAATGAACTTTTACTCTTTTGTTAGTGTCACACTGCTTTATAATTTTCAGTTCATGTTCAATGTTGTTTTATCTAAACCCTCCCTAACTTAGCGCTGAAAGTTTTCAAAGCAAATTCTCAGTTGTATGATTTTTATTTTAGCATTATAACAAAAATGATTATAGTGAAGCAAGATAAAGGGATAGGATAACAGAACGAAGGGTATTCCTTTCCAAAGAGATAACATTGAAGCAGAGATATAAAGGAAGGAATTAAGATATGCTAATATGAAAAGAGGGCTGGAGAGAGAGAACACTTGCAAACAGCTGGCCTGGGTTCAATCTCGAGCACTGCATTTGTTTCCCTGAGCACAGCCAGGGGTGATTCCTAAGCACAGAGCCAGACGTAAACCCTGAATACCACTGGATATGTCCTAGAAACCAAAAGATAAAAATTGAATGAGCCAAGAGCCAAGGGGGAGGGAAGCAAATTTTGTATATTAGAAGCAAGTTCATTCTACTGTATGTTGAAAGTTGATCATTTGAGCTCTGCCAGTGCCACGTGGTTCTAAAGGGCTACTTTCTGACCAACTCCATATGATCAAACAAATTAATTGGGGCTGGCCACACCTGAAAGAGTTCAGGGACTTCTGGTATAGTGTCCCAATGCAACATTCAGTGTCAGGGATTGAACACCCTGACTTGTAGCATGCAAAGCATGCTCTTCAGCCCATTGAGTTGTCTCTTTGGTGTCATAGGATCTTTTGAAAACAATTTTTTTATTTGGGGCCACACCCAGTGGTGCTCAAGAGTTTACTTCTGGCCCTGGTCAGGGATTACTCCTGGCAGAACTTGTGGGACCATATGAGGGAGTTTCTGGGCATCCAACCCAGGTAAGCCTCATGCAAGGTAAGTACCCTACCCACTGTATTTATTGCTGTAGCTCTGAAAAGCGTTTTTCTAAGGTCCACTCCCAGAAGAGTGCAGCCCATTGTGCCTGGCAGTCATATGGTATTGAGGATTAAACACAGGGCCTTGAAATGGAAAGCAATATCCCTTGAGCTCTTTCCCAAGCCCAGAAACTTAATGGTCTTATTCACAGTTTCATCTAAATCTATAAAATGAAAGTTCTTAAAAACACGCAATATGGTAATTTCTTAAATCATCAAATACGTGACTAGAATTCAGAATTTACTATTTACTAAATATTCTTATTTTATCAGTGTCTAAACTAGATAAACTCATTATATTTTGTTGAAAATGTCTTTGGTTTTAAGATTCATGGTTTTCTGTTCACTACGTTTTTAAATTCTACTTTTTTGTTGAAAGAATCAAGTTTTATGTTTTGGGTTTTTTGTTTTGTTTCTTTTTGGGCAGTACCTTGCATTGTATCCAGGGTTTATTCCTGCTGTGTGCTCAGAGATCACTCCTAAGCTTGCCCAAGAGTCTGTATGCAGTGCTAGGGCTAAGTTGGATCGGCCATGTGTGAATTAAGCATCTTAGTCCCTGTACTATCTCTCTGGCCTAAAGGAACCAGGTCTTTGCATTAGTTTTTCCCCAGTTTGGTTTGTGTTGCCTGAATTCCCTTGATTTTAATTGTTCTTTATTAGCAAGTCTAGAGACATTATTGAGTCAGATTCTATTTGGTGGAAGAATGCTAATGTAATTAATGAATAGCTTGATTCTTAGTGTTTTGCCTGTACGTCACAATGACCTCATTATAGGTTTGTAAAACTATAATATTCCAATACTTTTAATTTATTAATTAGTACAACACATAGCAACATATAGATATTATTCACATATAGATAAGATGATTTCTGATCACTCAGCTTTATTTTTTTGAAGTTAAATATTTGGAGATTTTTGAAGTATAGGAGGGAAAGATGAGGTTCAGATATTAGGCAACAAATCTTAGAAATACATATATATATATATATATATATATATATTTCGAAGAGCCCGGCAAGCTACCGAGAATATCCCGCCCACACGGGCATAGCCTGCCAAGCTCCCCGTGTCGTATTCGATATGCCAAAAACAGTAACAATACAGGTCTTATTTCCCTTGACCCTGAAAGGGCCTCCAATCGTTGGGAGAGATGAGTAAGGAGAGGCTGCTAAAATCTCAAGCCTGGGAAGAATAGAGATGTTACTGGCACCTGCTCGAGGCAATGGGATGACAGTGATACAGTGATATAGGAGGGAAAGAAAGTGGGAGAGAGTGACTAGTTTTGTGCTCAAGAGAGAACCCGGGCTTCTCCAAGGAACGAGAGAGCCCCTACATACATCCCAGAATTAGATATGAAAGCATGAAGGTACACATCTCAAGAGGGGAGATGGGTGCGACACATGTACTCAGGCACCACGTGTGCTCAGCTACATGGGCACAAGCAGCACATGGGCTTGGGCAGCATATGCACTCAGATTTTCTGAGAAACTTTTACCAGTGTATAAGATGGCTATTCCAATTAGTAGGCTGAAACTAATCTTCTGAAACTATCTTTTATGTTTTGTATGGATCATACTTTGGATCATGCTCAGCAGTGCTCAGTACTTTGTTATTTCTTTTATTTTTGATTGAATCACTGTGAGATCCATAGTTACAAACTTGTTCATGATTGGGTTTTTCAGTCAGACAATGTTCCAACACTGCCCCCCCTCCCCCAATTTACCAGGATATAGCACTTTCCTGGCAAGAGACTGACTTGGGTTTGATCCCCGGTACCCCATGTGGTCCTCTAAGTCTGCCAGAAGTGATTCCTGAGTGCA